CTACCTTCTTGAACCTGCGGCGATAGAAAGCAGTTTCCCTCCGTTTAAAATACCGTGTATACAAGGCCACAGTGAAACTTGTTCTGTTCTATGGGAGTGAGACTTGGCTCCTTCGGTCTGAAGATCTGAGGCGCCTTCATGTCTATGATGATCGTTGTCTGCGAAGCATTGCTGGTGTCGGATGACACCATCGTGTCTGCAGCGATTATGTGCGTTGGCGAGTACTAGTTAGTGATAATTATGCTTACTCTCTAGAGCAACAGATAGTAATGTATAAGTTTCGTTGACTCGGCTACGTGCGATGTATGCCTGGCCACCGCTTACCTAGGAGGGTCTTATTTATTCTGCCAGGTGTAGGGTGGCGCAAGGCTCGAGGTGGACAGAAGTTGACTTGGCAGCGGGAAATGAAGTCACTGACGACCAAACTGCGTGCCATTGATTTCTCTCGTCTTCCGGGCTGGAGTCCACGTGACTCGCCTTGTGCTTGGCTCGAGACTTTACGAGATATAGCTCTCAACCGACACCAGTAACGCGTCTGCTGTCATCACGCTCCGTCAAATCATCGGATACCCCCACCTTTACCAGAGGCCTACCATTGTTGCATTCCTAGACCTGTAGAGCATTCAACTCGGTTGATCGACCTGAGCTATGTCGTTGCATGCTAAGGCCTGCAGCTTTAAGAATCACAAGTCTGACTTGTAATTTGAGGGCGCGGGTTCGAACCTGGACCGGGCAACCCTCGCAGTGTCCTCAGCACACGTGCGATCGGCTGTGCTTGCGCGCCTGCGAAGTGTCGGTACTGCGTCCCGACATACTGGTGATGCATTGTTGCTTGCTAAGGGACGCCGTCCTTGAAAAGTATACTGTCATTCTGCGCGCACTCTTTCTGCACATCTCCGGCAAGCTTTCTTCGTTCTCGCTGTCAATACCGGTGTACGGCAGAGCTGCCTGTTTCACCGATCCTCTTTATTTTTGTGATTGAAGACCTCGTGTCGAGAGTTCTGGAAGGTTATCAACATTTCGGACTGTAACTACTACAAAATAAACGAGCAACAGACTTAAGTTATGCTGATGCCATCGCTCTACTTGGTGACGACTTGCGGAGTATATGAACCAGCATAAACTGTTTGAGGCATCTAAGTACAGAATGTGCTTCGCCCCTTCGAAATGCAAAGTGCTGCTCCAGAATTGGCACTCACCCGTTCCTGTGCTCATTCTTGTAGGTGCACAACTTGAACACCTTTATAGCTTTGTATACCTAGCCAGCTGTCTGCTGGTAGTGCTGTCAACAAGGAAATGTCTCTCCGCATCGCCAAAGCCCGGTCGGCATTTGTCAACCTGAAACACTTGTGGCGCGGTCGAGATGTCGACCTCTTGGTAAGGAGTCATGTTTACAATACAACCGTTCGGGTAGTGTTGTTATCTGGCTGAGTCATGGGCATTGCGCGTAGGTGACATGCGCCGGTTTCGCTATTGTGCGCTTGATGAGGATTACTCATGCATGGTGACAACGACGTATTTGCAACGGTGGTCAGGAGTCGTGTATTACGGAATGCGAGTATTCCCCCAACATCCCGATGTTTATGCGTCAGTTAAGATGGCTCGGTCACGTCCTGCTTATGTCAGCTGAGCGTATGCCCTATCGCGCCCTTTTCGCACGTACAGAACTTGTCTATATTAGACCAAGTGGTGATCGGCCCTCCACCTCGCGATAGCATATGAACTCGTTAACTTCCTATCTTGCTGCTGTTGGATCCACACTTTTGACTGATTGTGAACCAACGGACGAGGAGTGGCGGTAGTGAGAAACAATTCAGGATGTGGCGCACAATCGAATGCAGTGTAAGGTCTGTTTTCATACTCGTTTAGATTCAGATAGTTAATGCTTAACAATTGAAAATGAAAAAGGGCGTGTAAGAGACAAAAATGTTCCGTTTTTTATTACACAACAATGGTTGAAGTGTCTTGCTCACCAACTGATGTGCCATGATTATGATACGGTGGTTAAACCTCTTATCTTCTAACCATTTTCATGGTCCTACATACTCGACTGTTGCAAATGCGTGGTTGCCGGCGTCCGGTTTCGGATTTACCTGTCACTGCGGCATCCGTAGCACAGTCACAAAATTCCTGCGCCTACAGCGGAACCATGGGTGGCTTGCGCTGTACCACCCACAGCTCCATCTACACACCCCATATACAGTGTAAACTCCGAGAGGCGTGTGGATGGGAGCTAAGTTCCATCAACAGAACCGGCATGCACACTTTCAACAAGCAGATCGCCAAATTTCCAGTCATTCTAGTTGAGAAATCATGCGTGCTAGACGTGCACAAGGCGGTGCCTGGGCCGTAGTCTGCTCCACAGTGGATACATGGAACCACTCTTTGAGCCTCGCCGGCCACAAAAACTGTACACCGCGTCCACCTAACAGCGATTCACAGTCTCGTGGAGCCAGTAATCGAGGTAGAGGTTGACAGATAGGCATCCGGCCTACATTCACACCGGGGATATAAAACAGCTGACATAAAAAGAACGCGGAACTAAAAGTCATGCAATAAAAAATTAAAATTTCTTTGTGGACCGCACTTGCTGCTCTATTGACCAGAATTTGGAACACTAAAGAGCTACTTTGTGATACCGTCTATACGTCAAAGACGTGTCAGTTAAACTGTTTCCCATCTTGAAGTCTATGCCGTGACTCCTGAGGCGGTGTAAGGGTCTACAGGAAGCTGTCTATTCACTACAAGTGTGCTCCACCAGGATTGTACCATATCTCTTTTTTCAACTTTGTGATCGAAATGCTCATGAAATATTCCGTTTTTACAAAATCTTTTCGAGTAGAAGTTCTGCCAGGTGATTGGCTGACAAGCCTTGCGTTCGCAGACGACATAGCTCTCCTTCGATCTGAAGCAGCAAGCTAGGCAAGCAATAAAGAATAGATTAACTCGTAGCGCTGCACACTTCGGCACATGCTTTACGCCTTTAAAGAGTAAAGTACTGTTGTAGGACTGTGTGTGTGTGCTACCGACTCTAGATGTCAGCGAACAGCCATTGGAACTGGTGCATCGGTTCACTTACCTTGGTAGCTGTGTCAACTCTGGTGGTTACATCACTAAGGAAGCTATTTCGCGTATCAGCAAGGTCCGTGTGCCTTTCCGTAGTCGCAACTATCAATGGATACTTAGGATATTAACCTATCAGTGAGAGAAGGCCGGTTTTACCGCATAGATCAGAGACCTGGCCAGTTCGCAGTAAAAACACTAAAATATTGGCTGTGTTTCACCACCGGTGCTTGCAGATTATTGTTCAAATTTGATGAGAACGCCGGGTAAGCAATGCTGAGGTCCGCCAGTTGGTCCTTGGCAAGAAGCTTTCTGCTAATTTACTCGTCTTTGCTCAACCTCTTAGATTGGCTGGGTCATGTTTTCCGTACCCCTTTTGACCGACATTCTAAGTGTGCATTATACGCCGTGGCTGCGCCAAGTTGAGCGAAGCACCGAGGCAATCACTCAGCTACGTGGACTAAAGGCATGAAGAAACTCATCGGGAAACTCGACCAGGCTGCATAGTCGCGGGATGGTTCATACCGGTGGTTGTAGATTCCATCAGACATGGCGCAGTCGCACAGACAGTGGCGTTATTGCATTCAGTTTCCTGCATCTAGCTAGTAGTCCTCATTCCATCCCGATTGGTTTTGCGCTCTTTTCTCCTGATTCAGTCAATTTGTATCCTATTTGCGTTTAACATCCTCTTTTGCTCTTGTTACTTGTTATTCTGGCGACTTGGGTCGTGGCAACTGGATCCACCACACCTCGGTGCCCGTATCATTATTGTTCAGCTGGACAGAACTGTACCTTACTCTGTTTTCGGGTACCCGGTATATGGAGGTTTTGATACAAGGAATTTTCCATCATTCTGTTCACGGATATATGCTGGCAGCAGCTTACAACATCAACATTGCTATAGGCAACTTTGAGTTCACGGAAAACAACCATAGTCTGTTGTCCGGAACTGTGTTTGCTATCATTCTTGATAAAGTGTACATATTTGGCCAATGTAACGGAGACTACTTAGCAGAGTGGCTGGCTGGTTTGTGTCTGCAGAAGGTAATCTAGTTTACGTGTAAGCTGCTGTGGTTGTCTAGCTGAGTAGTTGCGACGACTGTTCTCAAAATCAAGTTAAGCCCTACTACTCTCTAATAATTAGTAGTCGCCTTAACAGCTTCCGTGTCACCTCTATTGTTGGCGGCATGCGGGTAGTCATAGCTCCGGAGGCCATATCTGTCCTCTGCACATGTATGCCAATGGAGGGCATGCCGCGCTGTATCGCACTTGTATATCAGTCATGCAAGGCTGTCGCCGTCACCAGTGGCTCAGTGGCCAAAGTCGCTGACTCGCAGGAGCAAGGTCATGAGTTCTGATCCGGCGAAGTCCGGCGGACCTGCGCTGCTGACGAGTACCAATTGGACAGAACGGCCGTCTAACACTTTCGTGGATGTGTGATTGTTATCTGCCTGAGTCTATCACAAAAACACAGTAGATCTCACTGGTATCTGATAGTTATTAGATTGATTTCTGCCATCTCTACGGTTTGTTGTTGTCCACAAGATTCAGATTTATCTCTTACGTGTGTGGCACGACTTTTGGTTACGCAGCATGAATATTACTCATCTGGCATAATTTTGACCACAGTTTATGTGATGAATGGAACGCAGCTAAGCCCTAATTCTGGCTGTCTAGCCGGCTAGACAGCTAAGTATGCGTCTTGCACTCTCCCATCACATCTTTTCCACAGTTTTTTTACATCTATATAATACAACTTATTCAGTCACATTTACTCTAGACTCACTTGTACTAACAAAACGTCTTAATATTGGCTCATATGTGCGTTGTTTGTATAAAAGCTAGTTTTTCAGTTGCCAGCCTGTGTAGTAACCAATTATTTTACTGAACCTTAGATTCTTCACCTACCACTGCTTACTTATTCTATTTTCCACACAGGTTTACGCATGAAACAAAGCAAACAGTCTTCGAGAAGTCCGACTATTGGTCGTGGTAACATTTTACAGTCAGTAAAGTCTGAATCTGATCAAATCAAGACACAGGTCCTGATGGCTCTGGCTCATTCCGTTTCGGAGTTGACAATCTCATCTGAAGTAAACCCACCGCCGCGCACAGCTTGCAGCCGCGACAGTGAAAAGCTAACTTCCGATCCAAAATTGGGGACTATATCCCCTTCTCTTTTGCGATTGTTTAAGTCCAGTGTTTTCACTATGGATCTAGCTCTGCAGTACATGTTCAAGGAGGAAAACCCCTTTGTGAAAGTATACTTAGGTACGCATTTCTCTTCCGCTTTTCTTTGTCAATGTCTTTACTTTAATCTTTGGAAATCCCAGCGGTATTGTGTTCATTACTGTTATGTTGCAACAGCATGCTGACCGTACTCTTATCTCGAGCTATTTAGACTCCAGAGTTTAGTGTGCCGCCCTGCGACCGACCATCAAACTTAGCAAATACAGTTGACTTAGATCTTTGCATTAGACCCCGTTGCTATCGGTGCGTTGCCTAATAAGCTGGCGCGTGTCACTGCACAGTTTGACGTATGACTTTTGCCTTCAGATTGTGTGGTGTTACAATTCAATTTCAATTCAAATGAAGAAACAGTTTTACGCATCCAGAAAGGTGAATTTTCAGCGGTTACACTCACGCCTTCAGCATTGTTCAAGGAATACACAAGTAGGTTAATAGCTGGCATGAGCAACAATATTGTTACAACGCATATTTGCTTGTAAGCTCCATAGCAACTGATGTGTCTGGTCGCACAATAAACGCGCGAAATATGGAATTACTGATGAGTGGTAAGCCGTTGTACAGGTATACGTGGATCTACACTGTTGTCTGGTTAAAGTAGTTGACATGCAGTCAGCGTACTATGAAGAGAGTGATTTGTATCGTTTAGTATTTTTGTAGCAAGTCTTGCATGAACTGTTAGGAGTAGACACAAGATGTTAACAAAGGTCAGTTTTGGAATGCGATTACATCGAAACAGTTGCGTCAATGACCTATGGAGAATTTTGAAATGCTTCCCATGGGAAACCGGAAAATGTCACAGAGGACCAATAGGTCCACTGGGGTAGGACACAAATAGTGATACATCACAGTATCAGTAGTGGGGGGGGGGGCAGAGGAGAATCACAGACGAGCAGCGTAAAATCTGCATTCACATGAAGTTACCAAGAAAAATCACAGGTGAGTGTGACACCTAGGTACTTCACTGACTCGATGGAGTGCAACCTCTCACCATCTGTGTGCTGTTCAAGACCATCCATGATTCTGTGCATCATTCGTTTGGTTCATTATCAATTTCGGCTACCATTGAACAATCGCTCTAAATGATTGACCGGTCTAATTATTTAGCTACCTGTATTGCCTATGGCAAATGCGGTTTTCCAAACGGAATCTGCATCATATCGTACTCATGCGTTGTTCGTTTATCTTTACAACGCTGTGCGGCTAACGTTGCCGTCCGAATGAGAATATTAAAAGACACCATTGTTGATTTATCTAATGCACACGTTCAGTGAGTGGACTGTGACATGCAGCCTCTTTTCCATCTGCGATTCGGTTTTAATTACCTCTCAAGATTCGACCACTGGAACTGTATCTGAAACGAACTGGCCACCGACAACTGCGATGCATTTCTCTTACGTAGTGGAGCCACATATTGACCCATGAAAGCCAAATTTGTGTAAAGCTTGCCGGGTTTATTATAGTTGGGATCATATTGACCACATCTTCACTTTGCACCTATTATTGGAGCACCGACACATATATTGGCAGCCTGCTTTAGTCTTTTTCCTCCACTTCAATAGTGCCTTCGATTCGGTGGATCGTTGCGCTCTTTGGAAATGTTTGCTTAGGATTTATGTACCCGGGAAGTACACAAATATTATAGGAACGTTTCTCTGACAAAGCTCGGGCTCATAGAGGGATTATGATGATCTACTTACGCCCTTCACTACCTCCAGAAAAGTGGGAACGATTACCACTATCACCTTTCTTTTCAAATCAATATTGTCGGGCTTATAAGGGCTGCGTTCACCGGACATAGCTTAGAAGGTGTGGAGCTGCTCCCAAGTGCTTTTTTAACTTGAGTACACCGACGATACCACCGTAATCTGTGACAGTATAATAACGTGCTAGTTGACACTGGCTATCACTCATTTCGTGCTGTATTTATTACCCTCCAGATGCAAAGTTCTAGTCCAAAAATGGCAAAGATTAACTCCTGCGCTGACCCTTTAATTGTGATCAACTAGAAGCCGGTTAGAAATCCAGCTACCCAGACAGTTGTATCAGCCCCTTTGGAGTAGATGTCATGAACCTTATAGCAAAAGCGCTAGGCGCTTTTGCTTATCTTCTCCACCTGCGGCGCTGACCTGTTATCAATCTGGCTCTGAAGAGCAAAGTTTACAACGCAGCCGTCTGTTCAACTCTCCTATATGGTTGTGAAACCTAGTACCTCAGATTGGCAGACTCATTGAGGCTAGCTACGTTCGAACACCGATGTGTTCGCAACTTAGCTCACATTTAATGCGAACGCAGCGTGAGCAGTGCACATATTCGGCAACTTAACAATAATGATCTGTGACTTATTCCTCGACAGTGCGAGGCACAGTCTAACGCAGTGGTCCGATCCAAAACGTCATCGCATAACACATTGCTTATCAACGCATTTTACAAAGGAATTCGGTTTAACCAAAGTTGAATGTACCAGAAACAGATAAATTTGGAACAATCACAAACTTTTAAATGAAGTACTACGATCTCCTGCGGAACCCTCCACGAGAGACGTGTTCCTATGCAGAGCATTCCCTCAAAGGTTTCACCCGCACTTTCATGCTCATCGCTCTGTGTGTCGGTGTGGCCACTAACGTGTATGACATCACTTTCACCAACGACACAGTTGCCCAGCTATTTAGATTGTTCGGCCTATTTTTTGTTTTTGCCAAGGAGCCAATTGCAATACGCCTTACATAGTCATAATTATTACTCTGGAAGCTTCGACCAATAATTTCACAACGAGGAAATAACGGTGAATATAAATGCGAGGAATTGAACTCAATAATAATGAATAATATAGTTTTGGAGAAGGCGATACATATATATATATATATATATATATATATATATATATATATATATATATATGGTTAGCGGCATCCGGTTTCGGATTTTACCTGTCACTGTGGCCAGCCACAGGATGCCTGCGTCAACAGAGGGGCCATGGGTGGCTTGCGCTGCACCACCCATAAATCCAACTACATTCCCCATAACCAGTGTAAACCCGAAGGAATAAACCGGGAGGCATGTGGATGGGAGCCACGTATCTTCAACGGAACCGGCCCACACTCATTCACAGACAAACGCAAGCATGCTGTATTTGGGGATCATGCGGTGGCTGGACCGTAGTCGGCTCCAAATTGCGTGCATGGAACCACACATCGAGCCTAGCACGGCCACAAGGACCGTGCACCCCTTCCCCTCCAACAACGACCAAATGTCTCCTGGAGCCAGTATGGACGAGGTGCTGGGTAATAGAAAGGTAGACACCTTGTCAACATACACATCAAGCGCAGCCACACCGGGGATATCAAACAACAGCCAATCACTTGAGTGAAAGATAAGAAATAAGGTAAATCGAGTAATGCAATAAGGAAACGGTGACGGGCTGGTTGGCACAAGCCAAGCAGTCATGGGTTCGATCCTCTGTAGAGGACCGAAGGTTGCGCACCACTGACGAGCCCCAATAGGGCGAAGCGGCCGTCTGGTGCTTTTCCGGATAGGTAGTTGACTTATCTGAAGTGTCGGCTGATTGCGACGAGCAAAAATACTCATCAAAATCCTTCTACTCATAAGTAATACAAATTCGCCCTTACGGATTCCATAAATGCTATGTCGCTTCCTAGCTGCCCTAACCGGGAAGTACTGACGCCGAAAGGTCAACCGCTGTCATCTGCATGGCAGGTGCCTGCATGGCAGTAGAGGATGGGTCGGGATATATCGCAGTTAGTTAACAATTCGTGATGGTCGGCTACCGTCCTCCATGGCGCAGTTGCATAAGCTGCGAGCTGGTTGGCACAAGCCACTAGCAGTCATGGGTTTGATCCTCCGTAGAGGACCGAAGGATGCGCACCACTGACGAGCCCAATAGGGCGAAACGGCCGTCTGGTGCTTTTCCGGATAGGTAGTTGACTTCTCTGAATTGTCGGCTGATTGCGACGAACAAAAATACCTGAACATTAAATTAATCGGCATACGAAATAAGTTGTTTTGCAAACGAATGCGAGGTAAGTTCACGAGGTCAGCAAGTGTATCTTACGGAAATGCCATGGATACGAAAATGTTATCGGAATTAACTACACTGCTACGCGTGCAAGTTTATAGAACACAGCACTGGTAGACATTTATATGAGAAAGAAAAGCATTAGGACAAAATTGCAAACCCACCACCTGAGATAAAGAGACTTAGCATGCAAGCACGCGGTTAGTAAATCGAATGCAGCGTGCCTACAAACGCTGTGCCGGTTCTGCCTACGTTCTCTGCAGGACCCGTCGAAGCTTCGGTAGGGGTCCCGGTGGCTTCGCTCATGGCTCACTAGGCCTGCCTGACTCATGCACTCGCGACCACATGTGCTATAGCACCATGCACTCAATGTCGATGGAGTACAACCCATCGGCGCCTGCAGCTTCCGCACTTGGCGCTTCTTCTTTGCATGTATGAGGTGTTTCTCCCGCACTTCGGCAACTGCCTTCGTGGTTAGATCGCGCCACGCACGTCGGTCAACCGCCTTCGATTCCCATGATCTGCAATCAAGATTAGAACGTGAGTGGCTCACTTTGATCACGTCTTAGAAACGTAATTTTGGTTTCCCCACATGCCGTTTCCCAATACTCAGCTGATCATATAAGAGTTGTTTCGGTATCCGCGTCGAATCTATACGGCTCACATGACCGAGCCACCTCAGGTGTCTCAGCAAAAGTATACAGTCCACTGCATACATTCTACTACGCCGCAACACTTCCGTGTCAGGAACTCTGTCGCCCCAACCGATGCGAAAAATCCGTCGCGAACACTGCTGATGGTACCGCTGGAGATATCGCACATCGCGCCCATCGTCCGCGTTTTACTGCCGTATAGAAAAACGGACAGCACCATGGATTTGTACACCATCAGTTTCGTGCCAATGGTAAGCTGATGGTTGTTCCACTCTCGGTACTCAAGCTTCCCGAATGTTGTCGCTGCCTTCGGTACTCGGATACTTAGCTCAGTG